CATGCTTTCCAACCAACTTTAATCTGCAATAATTTAAATGCAATATCAACCACTATCTACTGTTCTGATTACTCTTTCCTTTTCCCACTCATTATTAATGTTTCTGTTCCTAATTCTTCCACACCCTGTAACCCCTTGTGTCTTAGTGGCTTTACTGCCTTCCTTGTGGAACTCCCTTCCAATTCCATGCTTTCCAACCAACTTTAATCTACAATAATTTAAATGCAATATCAACCACTATCTACTGTTCTGATTACTTCCTTTCCTCTTCCCGCTCATTATTAATGTTTCTGTTCCTAATTCTTCCACCCTATAACCCCTTGTGTCTTACCTTTTTACTGCCTTTCTTGTGGAACTCCCTTCCAATTCCATGCTTTCCAACCAACTTTAATCTACAATAAATTAAATGCAATATCAACCACTATCTACTGTTCTCATTATTAATGTTTCTTTTCCTCTTCCCTCATTATTAATGTTTAATTTCAAGAAATTTCCAGTTTCTTTCACAGTAACAAATTAATGCCTTGTGTCTTAGTGACTTTACTGCCTTGCATGGGATAATATCGATTAAAAAAGTTGTCATAATCTTATTTTTCAGTACATCCACGCCGCTACCTAACGTGACACAAGGTGGTTGTATTTAATTTAGCGAGACAAGTTTTCTAATCATTACATCACGCAGAAGCGCCCCGGTAACTTACTAAGGCCAGATGTAAGAAGCACCAGGAAATCAGAACTCAATCGTAATTGATCAAGTGATACAAGCTTTTTAACCATTACACCGCGTCAAAGTGCCCAAAGTAGACAGGTAAGTACACAAACTGCTTATTAAGATAGTGACAAAATATATTCAACTTATTCATTTTCATTTTATTCGTCTTATAGTTATTACTACTGTATCTACTCCTTTTCTTTAATTCAGTTTCTTTAGGATTGTCCGTTATTTCTATATCCTCAGTATTTGTTATAGAAGTTGCAAAAATGTGTTATTGTTGTTGCTAACAATAAGTTTATCACTATAGTATTGAGTTAGAACAAAAGTTTGTAGTGATTTAAAAGTAAATTTCATAGACAATATTCAGATGTATTCAACCATGTATTTACCATTTTGTTTCACTGCTTCTATGTGTTGTTCCTTCAGGGCGTAGATTATCACGACTCTCCACAGTTTCCTGTCCTTTGTAGCTCTTTGTCTTTTTGATATCTCTCCCTGCCCTGATCTGCCATCCATTCACCCAGGCTGGCTAGGTAGGTCACGCGTTACTTTCCTCTGTCTCTCTTACCTTCAATCTGTCCTGTGAGTATCAAATTTTCCATGCCCTCTTTCCTTATTATGTGCTTGGGAAATTTCAACAGTTTCTTCTTGATGTTAAATATAAGTGTCATTTTTCTATCCATTTTCTCTAGAACTACGTCGTTGCTGAAATATTGGTTCCATGGTACACTCAACATCCTTATGTAGAACCACATTTTATTTTCTTTGTCTTTGAGACATAAACCTGATTCCATCCTTCCAGAACTTGGAAGATTTTGGGATGGTATAAGTTGTTTTACAGGCTTCAAGATCAATGAATCTTCTTCTCATTAACATAATTTTGTATGAATTGAAGTGGTAAATCGAGAGTGTAAGATCAAGAGAGAACTGTGAGCTTATTAGAATATCCTAGTTGGGTTTGCGAAGAAACGTTAGTCCTGGCTTTGTGCTGATGGAAGTCACTATCTTTGTCTAATTCCTGGTGCCTTTCATCGATTACTGTCTTTAATTAAAACTAAAACCAGGAATTCTCTTAATTCAACATCTGATTACGGAAGGAACTCGTAATACATAGATTTACGGAAAGAACTCATAATGCATACAGCCCTTCCAATGCCATCAGATTCACAGCATGACCTTATTCGGACGCAGACCGTTTATTGAATCGGTTAACGATGGTACATTTCTTTTCTTTTTTTTCTGCGAACCTTTTTCTGCACGTCCATTTTTTTTATTGCTTGTAGTCCTTCTTTAAAAACTGGATCGTTTTTGTTTCAGTTGTGCAGAGAAACGCTGATTGAAAAATTACTTCACTTAATTATTTCCTTTTAAATCGTGAGACCCTCAAATATCATATCTATCCTCCTTTTTTTTTTTTTTTTTCTCGCACTTCACACTTTTTTCACTTTTTAATTTTTTAATTCAAAATACATTACAATCTTAAAAAAATTAAATGCAACATCAATCGCCATTTCTGTCTCCTTAAACCATTTTCTTTTTTTTTTGTCCTTTCCTCAAACCTCCACAATTTTCAATCTTTCTCCTTCTCTTTCATTTTCACTCCCTGTAACTCCGCCCCGTGTTCTAGTAGCATTGTCCCCATACTTAGGGGTGAAACGATTAAAAAATGTATAACCTGAATCATTATATTAATCATTATATTATTATCCATTAGTATATAGATAATAATTATGATATTATTATTTTTCCTCGTTAAATCGTGAACGATTCTTCTATACCAGTGTTTTCAAATGTCTAACAAATCTCATATAAAACACATGGATTATCTCTGCTATGTCCCGTGTCGTATATCTTGGATTATTTTAAATCGACGCTTTGATTTCCTCATCATCAATGGGTGTAGGCCTACCGTAAGGTTTTTGTTTATCCAGATCAGTAATTCTACTTTTTAATTTAACGAACAACTGACAAACAGTCTGTTTACACAGTATTTTTTTCCTTACCGGGAATAAAAGAGCATCAAATGATAAAAATGCGTCTCATCTCTTATTTTAGCTTCACAATCCACACACGTTATTATCTAAATTTCAGAACATATATATATATATATATATATAAAGAAATATAGTTTTAAGGTGTGCTATATTTATGGAATAAATTGCTCAATATCAGAGAAATAGTGTATGGAAATAAAAGTGAACATTGAGCTTTCAATACTCAGAGGCCGACAGGCTGTTTCATGCTGGACGCAATCGAAATTTTCCGTTAACAAAAAGGCGTCCTGGCGATTTTTCCAGCACAACATACAACCTTTGCCTTTACTTCAATATTCAATATATATATATATATATATATATATATATATATATATATATATATATGAAATGGACAAAATCCGACAATTATTTTAAGACATTTTTATGTTCATACATTCTTTTTATAGCTACAAATATTTAAGTAAATGCTCTGTTTTATAATAAACAGTATTAAACAACATTTACCGGCCTAAATGTCCGAGAAATTTTCTCAGAAAATATTCCTCCTCCGACAGGATTCGAACCTTTATCCTATACAGAACTGTCATTTAGCTTGACGTGCCTTTACCTTTAAAATTTTCTGTTAAAATTTCTCGGACATTCAGGCCGGTAAATGTTGTTTAATACTGTTTATTATAAACAGAGCATTTACTTAAATATTTGTATCTATAAAAAGAATGATAAATAAAAATGTCTTTATATATATATATATATATATATATATATATATATATATATATATATATATATATATATATATATAAGTATATAATTTTAAATTTATAAATTTTAGTCACAACCCAATACTAACCAGTAAAACAGATACTTCAACTAAGGAGTAAATAATTGTCATCGTTATCAAATAAATTTACCATCATCAGAAGGGTAATCATTAATATAGCTAATATTAATGCTATAATTATTGCAAGAGACACTGCTTAAGAAAGACAAATGACACCGCAAAAAATGAATAATGATAGTATAAAAAAATTATAATTGTTATAGTTGTTGTCCTTTTGTATGAGTTGGTATGTTATTGTTATCTACTTATTTCCAGTTATCTTCTTGGTATATAGTTTTGATTCGATTGCCATGGAAACAATGTCATTTTAGCTGATCAATGTGGTTAAATCTAGGGGCAAAGAATAGGCAAGAGAATCGTTTGTTATTACCATTTCCAAAATATAATATATATATATATATATATATATGTGTGTGTGTGTGTGTGTATATATATATATATATATATATATATGTATATATATATATATGTATATATATGTATATATATATATATGTATGTATATATATATATATATATATATATATATATACTTTTCAGGTTTCAGGTAAAAATTTGTCAAAGAATCGCAACATAAGAACAAATGCAATATGTGATGTCACAAAAAGTAGGAAGCTGTGAGTTGCAGGGTGAATAAGAGAAAGTACAGTGATAAAAAAAATGTGAAACGTAAATAACGATGCAAAGAGAAAGATGAAAACAAAGAGACAAGGGTATATAAATGGAGAATCCTTTAAGAAAAATTGCAAAATAAATTAAAAATCGTTAAAAAAAAAGAAAAAAAATGAAAATAATTTAAACGGAAGTAATAAAGTAACAACAGTGAAAATTAAAACAACTAAATAAAAAATGCGTAAAAGAAGAAGCAACTAGATAAAGAAAACTTTGTGACGAAGAAGAGGCTGAAAGGAAAAAAAAAAGAAAAGCATCCATAAAATGAATGAAAAATTAACGAAAATGAAGAAAGTTTCTGGTGCATCGCAAAAGAGAAACGGACGAAGAAGGAAAGATTGGAACAGCAAAAAACTTGACAAGAAAACTGTCAGATGTCAACGAAAAAACAAAATGGAGGGAAATATTTCTTTGTCTGAGTTAAAACACGGGAAGAAAAAAATCCAACTTTGAGATAAAGAAAATGACAACAACGACATGAAAAAATTAGAAAGAAAAAAAAAACGAAAATCTTGAACAATACGTGATTTAATAATAAATAGATTTATAAATAAATATATAAATAAATAATTTAGAGACAAGTAAACAAAGAAATCTATGAGAATAAAGCCAATAATGAGAGAAAAAATACGTGGTACTACCATGTGACAGAAACTCCGTTTGAAAAATGTTTGATTCCTTCAAGTTCGCAGAATAAAGAATCATCAGATTGCGACATGATGGAATGGTAGACATAGATTCAAAGAGAAGTGGGGGCCCATACGGGAAAGACATCTTACGGCCATATCACGTTAAAAAACCGGTCCCCGTACGAACAACGAAGTTAAGCGACGTCGAGCCAAGTCAGTACTTAGACGGGTGGCCGCAAGAGAATACCAGGTGCTGTAAGCCTGGATGTAAGAGTGATATAATAGATAATACCCGGAATTATATAATCGGAGAGCCGAGTTCTAATTCCTGTTGGGTTAGTTATATTCACTTTACATGCAAATGCTCTTGGGAAAGGTATGAATTCACCTCCACACCTAATTACACCTGGAGTAATTAATAAAATTTGTATCACTAAATTATTGCCATCTCAAAAAAGTATCTTAAAATCTAAATAAATTTTCTGGCTTTAAATGACCTGTAACTGGCTGATAAGCCGTAGAAAACGAATACATCAATCAATGAAAAAGTGGTGATTGAAAATACAGAAACAAAACACAAGATAGAGGAAAATGGAAAAACAAGTGCAACGTGAAGTACCATATAGCATACAGAATTTTTATTTATATACAAAATATCCCCTTGCAAAAACAAATAAAATTCATGAAACTATTGATATATGTATGTTATTATAATATACAGATATTATTTTAAATATCCTGTATATTAGTAATGAAAATATTTCCATGTCTGCTTTGATTAATTTTCTAAAAAATACCCCAAATAATTAATATATTCATATATATTCAAGGCTATATAAAATACCAGGTTGAGGACTGGCGTGGGGTAGCTGCCCTTGATGAGGGAGAAAGGAGTCTCTCTGAGCTTTGGTTAGCAACCCTTTTAATGTTGGTTTCACGATAAAAAGACTTCAGATGGGAAGAAAAACTCATGACAGCTTAACCTGGTCATTGTATTGCATGTGTCTGTCGAGAGGCGTGTACTGGCTGGTACTGACTGTGATCCGGAGAGGTTAAACTCCGCGATAATAACACATGAAGACTGTCGTTCAGAGTTTCCGTGGCAAGTCTTTTGCGCCGTTATTTTTTTATCGACAGATCCAAAACGTATGGATGGTCTGACACAAGCCTTCACCACTTGAAACAAATCATTGTGTTGGTTTTCTGACAACTACATCTAATTAGTTCCGCACATATCTGGCTACTGCGAAAAATTCTATGAAACAATATCAACTTCATCTTGGCACTTGGAATGTACAAACTCTCCAGGACAACAACTCAGCACCAGAAAAAAAAGCTCTGGTCGCATTGGAGCTAAAGAGGTACATTGATATAGCTGCACTGAGAAGTAAGTGTTGTGGATTCCGAGATGAAATCCGGTCTCCAATGAATGACAAACGCAGGAATGAAATATAACAAATATATGTATTTACACAATAATACAATTGGTAATACTGTTAGTAGATCCAGAAACGCGGTTAGTAGCAATAATAATATATATATACAGTCTGTTAAATCCAGTCTCGAAGTAGGACTTCCTTAGAGTCGGGCGTGCTTGTAACTGTGGCTTCTACAAGCGGTTACCTCACACTATTACTCTACCTCCAACTCAATCACAATCTCACTCTCGCTCTCTCTACTCTGACCGACTCTGGGTATTTAACGGAAGCAGTCCAAGTAACACACTGGTCGAGTCCAATTGTATGAAAAAGGGATGGACCCCATAACAGTAAGGATCAGTCGACTACATGAAACGAGAAAGCAAAATAAGACATCTAACAGTGTTCCTGCTGTACTTGGATACAATACATTCTCTAGGTCCACTCCTTCATAGTCAGCCTATACCTTTTCAGCCTACCCTCGTACCTGGAAAGAAACGATGCAGCTATTAATAAGAAGAGATGAAATGAATGCATGCAAGATTTCACAGCTTTAGTATCACTACTTCATAGGCAGCCTATGAACTTTTCAGTCCACCTATGTACCTGGAAAGAAACAATGCAGTTATTAATAAGAAGAGTTGAAATGAATGCATGCAAGGTTTCACAGCTCTAGCATCACTCCTTCATAGTCAGCCTATAAACTTTTCAGCCTACCCTAGTACATAGAAAGAAACAATGCAGTTAATTAATAAGAGATGAAATGAATGCATGCAAGATTTCACAGCTCTAGCATCACTCCTTCATAGTCAGCCTATGAACTTTTCAGCCTACCCTAGTACATAGAAAGAAACAATGCAGTTATTAATAAGAGATGAAATGAATGCATGCAAGATTTCACAGCTCTAGCATCACTCCTTCATAGTCAGCCTATGAACTTTTCAGCCTACCCTAGTACATAGAAAGAAACAACGCAGTTATTAATAAGAAGAGATGAAATGAATGCATGCAAGATTCCACAGCTCTGGCATCACTCCTTCATAGTCAGCCTATGAACTTTTCAGCCTACCCTAGTACATAGAAAGAAACAATGCAGTTATTAATAAGAAGAGATGAAATGAATGCATGCAAGATTTCACAGCTCTAGCATCACTTCTTCATAGTCAGCCTATGAACTTTTCAGTAGTCTCTTGTATGTGAAAAGACATTATGAGTAATGATTAAAGGAAAACTTTTTACCAACGCGTTATGAAAGTAAATATAAGGATTTTATTTTGCATCGTGCATTTATAAATAGAAGTACAATTAGCCTTATGCTTTTAATATTTTTTAAATATAAGACCGCTCAAAATATTCTTTATTATTCTTGTGAATTTCAATTTAAACTATGGAAGATGCTATGCGATGTAATTTAATGGGTAATAAAGAAAAGTGAATAAATTCTATTTTGTTTTTCCACACCGGTAGCACGACACGGAGTTTCATTCAAAACGCAACCTTCAGGTGCTGATTGAAAACCGTATACGGAGCGAAGGCTAAAAATTTGGCAAGATTCGATGGCGGCAATATCAAGAACTTTCCGTCTAAGTAAATTATTTTCTTTTTTAATAAGTGTGGTATTCTTTAGAGGACTGTTGCGGTTAAATATATTTCTGTGAATGACTAATAAATACAAAAATTATCTCATACATAACAATTTTGCAAATAATAATAATGATAATAATAATAATAAGCAACCAAGGAATTTGAAAAACTATCAAAATACAAAGACCTGGAAATTGAAATAGAAAAAATGTGGAAATTGAAAACAAGAATAATACCAGTGGTAATAGGTGCACTTGGAATTATAAAAATGGAACAAAACAACACATTGAAAGAATCCTGAAACCCCAGCTTAAGAGACATACAGAAAATTGTCTTATTAAGTACAGCACACACACTAAGGAGAACTTTGTCTATGTAACGCTAGCAACTCATCGGAGATAAAAAAAAAAAAAAAAAAAAAAAAACACATGAAATGTGGCCATAACAACACACCACGACCTGCCTTAGGTCTTTCCGCAGACTTGGTAGGTAGTGTGTCCATAGCAGAAATAATAATAATAATAATAATAATAGTATTATTATTATCAATTATTATTATTCCGAATTTTGTTGTTACCCGGCTGCGTCCCTCAGAGAGAAAGCAGTCTGCGTCCGAAAAATCTGTCACTGGAAGAAACTCTTTGATGACTCTCTTGGTCATCAAAACCGGATTAACTCCAACCATATACCTTGTGATCAAATCAATTAATAAAAAGAAAGAACGAATTGGAGTGGCAAAGAGTGTCAGCAAGTCATGACATCTTTTTTTCTCCGCACTCGAAAACCTACAAAAGAACATCACTGATCAGGCGTACCAAATATGGAGAGATATGGTAGATACTGAAATAAGACGCTATCTCAACCCAAACATATTTGCCAGTGTCCACAGGGACATCATGCAAAATAAAAGACTACCAAATGGAGAAATAGATCAGATAAAAATAAATATAAGGAAAAGTATATTATGATCACTCAAACAATAATGAGGTAAGAGTAGAAATAAATAATATGACAGAGGATGAGGTAAAAACTAAAATAAATGAGATACGAAAACAATAATCTCTTAGGAAATAAAATAGAAGAATCTAGCTGCGACATAAACAATTGCACTGGTTCAGATTATGTCACTGAAGATGAATCAAACGACATTAGGGCAGAATTCCTTGCGAACAACAGAGTTGAAATCACTGAAGCGAAAAACTACATCATTCTAATAATCAGCAGAGTAACTCGCGCACCGATGTCAAAGAAAAAAGACCGGCTCCCAAAAACTCATATGACATAGTTCAAAAAACATACTGTGTAAACATATAAGACTGCATTGCAAGCACTGTTAAGACCACTGGAAAACATCACAGAATTAAATAATGTCATCTATGGAACAGTTTTAGTAGTGAGTAGGAAACTTAATGTCAAGACAAAGAAAAATCAAGCACTAGACAAAAAAGAACCAGTTTCGAAGGTCAAATTAAAGCGAAGAATTGGGAAAACCAGATGGGAATTATCGATAATAAATGAGATGTCAAGAAATTTTTCAACAAGGAAAAGCAAGAAAATCAAATGGAAATATAAAATTAAAGCAGTAAATGAAATTCCACCAATAAAGAAAAAACTTAAGCAGAAACTGCCATTAAAGAAGAAAACAAGACGTTGTAGGTTCTATCGACAAAAGATTTTCCAAACATACCTCAAGATATTTTATAGGGAAATGTGAAAAGCTGTTAAAGAAGTAAATATCACCATTTATGAAAGAAGTGCAAAAATTTTGGAGAATATTTGGAGCAACCCAAAGAAATATAATCCCAATACAGAGAGGATTAAACGAGAACAAGAAAGAATGGAAGGATAAATCTGTGGATGAATGTCAAAATATAAACGAGGTAAGCAAAATCCCCAAATGGAAATCTCCAGGAAATGACAAGGTACCCAATTTTGGCTCTATCATCTGTCATCAATCCATAAAACACTTGTACAATCTTTATCAATACTAATTAATAACCTCATTATAATTCCAGAATGAATCATTGATAGTAGTACATATCCCCAACCAAAAAAACTATAGGCAAATAACATGTCTGTCCACCACATATAAATTGATCACGTCTGTCTTGACGAAGTGTACTTTCACTTTTGTCGATGAAAACAATATCTTTCCTCTGGAGCAGAATGGATGTCGAAGAAGTTCATATAGTTGGAAAGATCAACAAAATGGTCCTGGAAGACAAAAGGTAGAAATCTCTGCACAGAAACTAAAAAAA